CAAAACAAAGATGCTTTTCTATATTAGATCAAAGCATGTGGAAACTACTTGCAACATTAATATGTTAAAAATGTATAATGCGAATTATAATTAAATAAGAGCACCACAGTCTAGTCTTTGTTAATTCTTACCCCAGCTGGTTTCTTTTGGGGACGACGAGAGTCCTCGTAGGCCGAAAGCGTAACTGTTCTCTTGTATTTTGTCAATATTGTGTTTGTGATTGTGAGTGGATCTATATCACCTAAAATTTTTACTTCCCATTCAACAGATCCATATTTTGAGAAGCTGAAGACGACATCTACTCCTACAACCCAAAAGATAGAAAATAAATACATAAATATGAGTATTGAATAAAACAATAAGTACTAATTAAGAAGAGTTTTGATGAGTAATATAAACTCGCATGCAACATATATACAATTAAAAAAGAGTTTCATTTGCAATGCACGAACCTTTCATTTTGTCCAACGTTTCCCTTACTTCGTCAAGACAACCTGGACAATGTACCTTCAAAACACAAGTCTGCAATGCAAGAAAATGTATTACTTAATTATAATATCATTCAATTTAGTCATAAAATGAAGAGGTCGTGAGTGAGGCGTAGCAAGACATACCACCGGACTAAAACGGCGGTTGTTCTCCATCAATGGAAGAGCAACCTCGGTAGTACTGCGGTTCTCCATTGACGCGGGAACAATAGCATCCTTTGAGTTCGATTGAAATTAATAAAATAATTAGTTATACATAATCAGGGAATAATTAAAAATGCATGCATGCTAATTAATATATATATTTGTTGATATACTGAATGAACGATTATAATATATGGTGATACTTAGCCGGAAATTGCAATCTTAATTACCTTGTTATAATTAAGGGATAATTTTGTGTCGTTTTGAATGAAGTGATCATTATTCTGTGCAAGATGATTTGCAGCAGGGTTTGAATTCTTCCTGTCGTAGGACACAAGCTCTGCACGACGTGCCTTACAAACCCTTGATATTGTACATGCCTTTATGACTATGGCTGGGTCTACAATATCCCCACAAACTGCTATCGTGCGTTTGTATTTATTCATGGTGATGGATTTTAGTCCTACTCGAAAAGTAAAAAACTATATTAATATCAAACGGAATCTGCATACATACATATATATATGTAACATATTATTAATTAATAATTATGAAAGAGTTTATTTGTACCACTTATTTCCTGCAACAAATTTTTCTGTATTGTCTCCGAATGATAAGTAATCCAATAACTTGGAACCTTCACAACACAAGTCTGCAAGGAGCATGTATATAGACACATTAATGAAAATGAGGAGTAATACGATGTACTTTGTATGTAAGCTAGAGTTTTTCTTGGTTGATTTCTTAATTACCTCAAATT